ATTGCGATGAACATAAACACATTTATTACATAGCTAATTATAAGAGGCTTTTCTATTCGTATATTTATTTTTGAAATATACTTCTTTTTGGGCATCAGGGAAAAAGGATGAGGGTAAATGTTTACGATGCGCACGCAAACCGTTGTATAATATTTTAACATGCCTTTTTTGGTGCTATGGGACTGATATTTGGAGGATCATAATAACTAATGTTATATACCATATCTGTTGGGACGCCGCCCCCGGTGCAGTCCCCCCCCCCTCTACAGCTTTTTGGCCAATTTCTCGGCACTCGGGCCTCACAGTCCATTCAGATCTGACTCATTCGATCCCTCTCTGTCTGCTCTTCCAGTTATTAAGATTTCATGCTCATAGGGCTATTTCTTCCATAGTTTTTGTCTTAGACATTTTAATTTGTTTAAATTCAAAATGTCTTGGCTCCTGTTCGAGTCTCGGACGTGAGATCTGAGCCAACTGTTCCACTCGTCAAGGCCCATCCAGTCATTTACTTCATTCCCATTGTGTAGGCATGGCAAGGGCTTAAGCACTAAAATATCATGTTCCCATGTTAAGCCTATGGAAAAAATTTCTCCCCTCTAAGGAATTGAGCTTGTGACTTGATTTTTGGAGGTCCACCATATTTTAGTATTAGCGCGAGCTTTACGTGGAATTGGCCCTCTCCCCCCTACAGGGCTTACCCAGAAAAAACTCGAATCCTATACCACCTTGGTCGACCGCAGCGGCTGGATTCGATTGTTCTTCCTATGAGCATCATAGATATATTTTTTCAGGACCATAGCCCAATTTCTTTACCCATATTTAACATTCCAAAATTATTTCAGTTATAATTTTTTTTTAAATCCCGCATAGTTTCGAGGATTTTTGAGAATCGTTAGTGAAACGAGGGCCATAAGTTCTCCTTGTTGAGCTGTTTCATCTGTTACAATTCGTGCGTAGATAGTGGGCTTAGGGGGGCGCGTTTTCACTAAAATTAGAGAATCCCCATGTTATTTCTATGGGGTTCGATCTTTTGATGACGTAACGATATTATAGAGATAGAAGGATGAAACTTTGGGATCATCTACTACTCTGTGTATCATTGGGATGTACGTGACCATTTAAGTTACAGTTGCCCCCCCCCTCGGGGGAGTTAGTTTCGTTTTCCTTTCCCGATCTAGCACCACCCCATTTGCAACTACAGACTCCGGACCGGTTCTAATGGATTCCCCTCTTGTGTTTGTTTACAACCAGTCCCAGGTTCGAGTTGCTGGGTTCCCTGCTTTTATTTTATTTAATTGTTTTGTTTTTATTATTTTAAAATAACCATAACTCGGGGGCTCTTCAGACGGTTGTCTTAATTTTCTCACGAACGATTCTTCCCACCGAAACATTCAATATGAGGTCTGAGGTGTCACATTCAGTGCACGTCATCTCCAGATACAGTCTAATACCACCCATGTTATTGATCCTATTGTCCCTGTGCGGGGGTGTTTAAATTTATTTAAATCGTGTTTATCTCAGGTTTGGCTTGTCCGATTGACTGAAGGATAGTATTGTTCAGCTCTGCTTGTGACTACCTTTCGTCCTTGGCCCAGCTTGCCCTGCTAAAGATTTTTTAGAAATATTTTAAACTTGTTACGCCAAAGAAGTATAACTTCTTACGTGCGAACATAAGTACACACACACTTTTTTT